TGATATTAGTTTTAGCCGATCTTTACAGAAGCTGCATTTGAAAAGTTTAGCAATCTTGTCTGTCTCTCAAGGTGCACCTCAGTCGCATGGACCAAAAGCGTGCAATGAGTTGCTGGTGTCAAGCTGTATATATGTGTACGAGTGCGGTATGTGTAAGTGGTGTGCTTATGGTGTGTTTTAGAGGGCATGAGATGTATATGGGTGTGGTGTGTGTGGCTGTAAACATTACGTGTTTGCAGTAGGTGTATTGTATGCGGGCATGAGCAACCTGCTGGGCGCGAATTAGAAGCAGTGTTCAGCAACCTCGTTTCTCATGACATAAGGATGGTGAATTTTAGAGCGAATTTCCAGATAGAGATGGCTGTGAACATTGAGTTTTTTCAATACGACACGAAGGACATGTTGTTCCGGAGGTGTAAACATTTTCAGCGCTGAGATCGACGGAGTCCCATGATGTTGTCGTTTTTGATATCCAACTCCTCGTGCTCTGGAAACTTCGTTGACAGAAAGAAATTACAAATCTCCTTAAGATTTAATTTAGGAAATTAGATAGACCCAGACCTCAACCTCATAATTAAACGAGCTTTCTGATAATTAGATTGTCGGTAAGGTTTTACAATTTACATTTCGAAAGACACTACACGGAAGAGGCTTAATTATTGTCAACACGTTTTTTCAGGTCGGCCACTAGTGTAAACCAGTTATAGAAGCTTCGAAACCGCATTGTGTTATTATTTGTGAAATGGAATATTTCGTACGATCTGGACTGAGCGAAGTTGCAAGGTGTTATGGTTGACGACTGGGAATGCAGTTCAACAGTGCTGAATTGTCAAAGTGCTGAGTGTGAAGTACTGAGATACAGAAGTGTTAAAAACTTGTGTTAGGGTAGGAGGGTTGAAGCACTCCGTAGGGTTAAGGTAGAAAATGTTGTGGGCTACAAGGCAGGACGTTCTCAAATGTGCTACTTATTTCAATTAAATTTTATGGTGGCGTTCAGCTTGAGTTTCTAAGTAACATGTAATATGCAAATTAAAATTTCTCTGAAAAGCCCTCATTGCATAACTCGAAATTGCACCGGTCTTAACGAAACCATCACCGTGAAAATCACTAACAAAGATTTTGCTATATCATGTGAAATACTCATAATGGTAATCTATGCAAGTAACAGATTTTTGCTTGACAGAGAAAAAATATTTGAGAATTATCTGCTACAATCAATAAACTGTCATAACTGTAATAATCAAATCGCTTGAATCGTAAAATAAATAAATGTCATTGCAAGATTCAATCAATGACTAAGTCTTACAGTCAGTCAGATGTTATGTGCCTCGTGTGGTATGGTCGACACAGCTCACTAGCAGGTTCTCATGTGGCGGCGAAGCATTCATGCCCTCTTTAATCTGAATTCATATATCCCTACGCACTTTTCCTTCACTCGATTCATGGACTATTCCGCGTAAAATTCTAGCCTCAACAGCTCTGGTCACGTGGTCTAAGAACAGAACAATTCCAAGCAGTTCCTTTTAAGAACTACTGTATTTCACAAGTGACGACATTCAAGGACCTATTCCTGTAGCAGTTCCAATGTCGGGGTCAAGATTTCCTCTGAAAGTTAAGGCGCTAGAACATCCATGTACTTGTTACTCATCGATAGGTGAGCAATATGATTTGGGTGATGATCTTATTCCTTGCCTCCTGCATCTTCTTAACAACATCGCCCTCTACATCACTCCCCTAACCCCTGTTCCCTCCGCCTTACTCTCTCCGTATCTTTTTCCTTCTCCTCACCTCCCTGCATCGCTTTTTTCTTCTTCCTCCTCCTCCTCCTCACCCCCATTTCATGGCTGGTTCTCTCCTCCTTCTCCTCCCTTCCCCCATCACGGGTAGTTCTCGCCTCCTCCACCGAGGCTGAACTCATCGTATCTGCCGCCTCACGGGAGACATTCATTGCCGCCTCACCACTGCAATTCCCTCTCACTTCACCCTCCCCTCCCTCATTCTTCCCTCATTCTTCCCTCATTCTCTCCCACCCTCACCCTCACTATTACTTTATGAAGGATTGTAATTTTGAAGTTATCACAGACCGTAGCTCCTACCCGCAACATCACAGACATCACTTCATTTTAATCTTAAAATCTTGCTCGAGTATTTGCCAGCACACATAAGAATACGTGTAAAATTATCTCCAGAATTTTGGTCGAAGGCATCTCACGGCTCCGTAGAAATACTTCAAATAGCTGTATTCAACAACCCCACATAACTTCGCTCAACATTTAAAAAAATCTTTGTAAAAATTCCCATTCCTTCTTGTATTCTGGGTAGCTAACTTTTGTGTTCTAGTAATTGTTGCTCGTCACATAATAATTCTGCTCTGGTCAAATAATCGTTTCTTTCTAATAATAATTATATCAATGAGTGCAGCCATGAACTTGAATCAATCTATTTCACATTTATGATGTATACATGTCGTTATAATGCTGCATTACTTTATTAAAATTTTCCTTCTAATAGATCGTTTTACAGAGGCCCAGACGCGTGTCTATCATTCTCTTTGAGAAAGGCCAACAGCTCAAAATTTTTTCGCAATTCATTCAAAGAACTCATTGTTCATTTCGGAAAACTTAATGATTTCTTCCTATCTGTGATTTCTTGGAAAAAAAAACATGCATAGGCTTAGTTAAGCCATGAACTTGAATCAATCTATTTCACATTTAACTCCCTCTCTACCAACTCCCCACAACTCCCACGCTCCCTCTCTACCAACTCCCCATAACTCCCACGCTCCCTCTCGACCAACTCCCCATAACTCCCACGCTCCCTCTCGACCAACTCCCCATAACTCCCACGCTCCCTCTCTACCAACTCCCCATAACTCCCACGCTCCCTCTCGACCAACTCCCCATAGCTCCCACACTGTATTAGTTTGAGGGCAAGAAAGTGAGGGGATTTGGTTGGGTTATTTAGCGAGCTGAGGCGCTGAGGTGACGAGGCCGCTGCAGCGGAAAATAGCGCCAATAGGCCACGCAGAATAACGTCGAGGGGCCACGCAGGAATTTGCTACAAAAGCGGCCTAAGCGAGACCCAAACTTGGCTAGGCGCGACCAATGAACGTTTGGGGGCCTTATAGGTCTAAGCTGTGGTGGTGATGGTGTTGTGGCATACTGATGGTGGTGTTATGGTGGTGGTGGTGTTATGGTGGTGGTGGTGTTATGGTGTTGGTGGTGGTGTTATGGTGGTGGTGTTATGGTGGTGGTGTTATGGTGGTGGTGGTGGTATTATGGTGAGGGTGGTGTTCTTGTGATGGTGGTGTTGTGGCATGGTAATGGTTATGGTGTTGTTGCGTCCTGGTGTTATGGCGTGCTGGTAGGTGCTGATGGTGTGGGACTGAAGTAGTAATTGCGCTGGGTTCCGCTCTAGAAAAATTCCGCTTGTGTCACTTATGGTTCGGGTGGTTCACCTATTGCTATAACTCATAAAAAAGCATTCAGTGATACCAAAAAGGCCCATTGTTATCTACTCTTGTTTTTCTTGGAAGCATCATGTATCAATTGAATTGAACTGACTAAACTACATTGAACGCACAGTGATATTGACATTTTTATCAAAAACGAATATTCGCCATAAGTATCATCTAAGTGACATGCATACAGAATTATCAATTGTTATCATCCATGAGGCATGCATCCGTGTTATCCATTGTTATCATCTATGAGGCATGCATCCGTGTTATCCATTGTTATCATCCATAAGGCATGCATCCGTGTTATCCAGTCTTATATTTTGCGCTAAAATCTTCCTCTGTTATCTGAGTGCCGTGAGTGGCGTTTACTGGCAAATCAGCCGTAAAAGGAAGGCCTTAAGGCAGTTTTTAAAGCCTCTACCGCAGTCACAGTGAGAGCCGCTGCTGGATTCATGTTCATAGGAAACACTGAAACGTCCACTAACCTGCGTCTCAAGCACGCATTTGCGACCTAACGCCACAAACTTCCAGCCATGGCCACAAATTTTGAGGTTTATCCACAAATTATTATCCACCACCCCTACACAAACTAAGAGAATTCGCCACAAATGAAAAGTTCTCACCCAAAAAATTGAATTTCTCGCTACTAAATAATCGCCCTAAAACTAAATTTGAGGCTTTCATAAAAATTTTATTTTCAGTTAAAAACTCGAAGTTTCACCCCTCAATTTACGGCAATGACATCGCAGTTACTTCTTTTTGACACGACATTTGTTGCAGTTTGTTTTCTTAATGTGACTATGGGCTAAAATTGCATTCACGTGATATGGTTGTCGACATGTGCGTCAAACCGACAATTTCATCTCGAACCGACAATACAAACAAAAAACTAATCTCATCTTTAAACAACACTAAATGTAGCTCGGGCTTAGAAAGTTGATCGCTTCTAAATGTCATTAACGACGTATTTATCGACAAAGGTCGTCGTACATTACAGGTTCTCGCTCGAAGACTAAGTTAAACGATTCTGTTCCTGTGACTCACAGGACGATCGTTTGCAATCGTGACATTCGATTGCAAACAAATGATCGTTTGTAATCGGGACAACAATGTACTGCAGGCAAGAATTACAATAATTAAAGGTACAGTGGCAGTGGTAAAGTTATAGTGCAGTAAAGGACACAGGAGAAAGCAAAGAACCGCGGGTCGCTGTAAAGAATTAAGCAAACTGATCACGACAGTTACTGCTCAAATTTGTGAGGATCATGTGACAAAATATAGAAGTGCTGTCAACATGTCAGCACAAGGCAGTGCAAGATATAGGACAACACCAAGCTTTGCAGGATAAACACATAGGATAACGTAATGCTTTGCAAGTCTCTGAATACAGCGTTTAGGTGCCCACGCAGTGCAGGCCTCGGCACCACATAAGTAGTGTCGGGTATCCATGATACAGGCCGGTTCTCCCAGTTCACGATGCCACGTCGTGCCAGCGTGCCGGAAGAGTTTCATAATTTATCACAGGTTGCCTTGTCCACAGATGTCGGCACCACGTGTGGGGCGCTGCACACTACTGCTGCTGTCCACTCTTGCTGCACTGCTGCACTGCGGTGAGAACGGGAAACTGCTTTGTGGAAAAAAGCTTTGGAAAGGGAAACTGCTGTGTGGGAAACTGCTAAGCTGTCACTTATGCACCGCAGTGCATAAGTGACAACACAGTCCCATATGCACTGCGGTGTTGTTTAATGTTTATGGTAAACAAGCATGAGTGGGGCAACAGCCACTGGTAAAATTCAGCCGCTGCAGGTGTAGGACAACCGTTGCAGTTTAAGAACAGCAGGTTCCAGTGTTAAACAACCGCCGCTGGGTCAGTGAAATGGCCGCAGTTGCAGAACAACAGCTTCAGGTGCTGAATAAAATCTACAGTTGCAGAATAACAGCTACAGGTACAGAACAACAGCTTCAGGTGCAGAACAACAGCTACAGTTGCAGAATAACAGCTACAGGTACAGAACAACAGCTGCAGGTGCAGAACAACAGCTACAGTTGCAGAATAACAGCTACAGGTACAGAACAACAGCTTCAGGTGCAGAACAACATCTACAGTTGCAGAATAACAGCTACAGGTACAGAACAACAGCCGCAGGTACAGAACAACTACGTCTGCAGTGTGACGTTCCAGGTCGCCCAACTACCGAACTTAGCCGCAGTTCACCCACTAACAATTTCCCGAAGGTTTTTTTCATCATGGAAAAGTATGAAAGGCGACGACAAAACTTGGTTCATTTTGTAAAAGTGTCTTTCATTTGCAGAAAATTGAGCGGCAGGTGTTGCCGACATAGGCCGCTTGTGACAGCTGTGGGCCAAGCTTCTTACGAACTTCACTCGTTGTTGTCGACTCCATGACTAGAATTTCCTCGCTCCAATCTTGTAGCAAAATGTATAACATAAAATGCTGTAATACTTTCGAACATGAAGACCTAAAGTAAATCTTTACTGCGTTTAAAAATTCATAAGTTATAAGTGCCCACGAGCTTAGCACGAGCAGAGAATACGGTAGATAATGAATGATTTTTATCCATTCGGGAATATTCGGCAAAGAGGCGATAAAAATTTAAATTTCAACAAAGCGTCTAGTTAGGGTACTCCATTCTCTTCAACCTTTATCATATTACAATTATTTCTATTTGAAATGAAGTGAATTTAGCTTAATTGAGGAGCAGGATTAATTTAATTAGGTAGGGCGTAGGGGGGTTAGCTTTAATTGAGGATTGCGTACAGAACAAACCCCAGAAGCATATCCCCGCTCCCCCAGGCTTGGGTCTGCGGGTGACAGCCGTGGAGGTGCCCCGTGTCGTGACGGCCGGCAGTGACGTGCGACTCTCGTGCGCATACGAGCTCAGCCGTACACGTCCTGACCCACTCTACTCCATCAAATGGTTGGTGTGTGCGGCTCTGCTCCATCAAATGGTTGGTGTGTGTGGCTCTACTCCATCAAATGGTTGGTGTGTGTGGCTCTACTCCATCAAATGGTTGGTGTGTGTGGCTCTACTCCATCAAATGGTTGGTGTGTGTGGCTCTACTCCATCAAATGGTTGGTGTGTGTGGCTCTACTCCATCAAATGGTTGGTGTGTGTGGCTCTACTCCATCAAATGGTTGGTGTGTGGCTCTACTCCATCAAATGGTAGGTGTGTGGCATGTGCGTTCATGCAGAAGAGGCGGTATGCCGGTGTTTGTATGATCTATCCTGAAGCACATTAATTAATGTTTCATACAATGAATATTTTCAGAGTATCTAAGCTGTAAAATGCACCTGTATGAGTAGTATGTATAGAGTGCAGAATGTGTACACTGTACAGCTTGTGCGGAGCGCTGTAAACACAGAGGACGACACAGTTACAAACCGCACATTTCGTTGAGGCAGTACATTTTATACATGGCTCAGTGTGCAGGTTGTACATTTTATACATGGCTCAGTGTGCAGGCCGTACCCTTTGCACACGTGCACCCTCATTTAACACTACCAAGTAGTGATGGTGCGGTTGGATAGTGAATGGTATAGGCTGCCCCAGGATCGCTCGGCTAACACTCGCCCCTCTAAGGTACCGCGGCCACGAGCAGTTCTACGAGCTCCTGCCCAGCCGAGCGCAGCCCACCAAGCGCTACAGCTTCCCGGGCATCGCCGTCGACGTGAGTACCTGCCGCTCTACCAATCTGCTACTCTACCACACTAACAGCATGCAGGCCAACATGACGGTCGTAGGTGAGGCAGCATGCAGGCCAACATGTTTCGATTTTTCACTACCGTTCAAACAAACATTTGATTGTATTCGACACACCTAATGTGTTGAGGAGGTTGATGAATTTTCAGCTAAAACTTTTGGGGCAACGGAATTTACATTCTTTCGAATAAGAAAATGTTTTCTTCATGTTAATTAATCATTTGAAAAATCCTCAAGTCTGATATAAAATGCAAATATTGCATGGTATTACCGCTAAAGTTCAGCAATACCCAGTGTATGACAACTTCTCAATTGTAGGTTATGGCTTTTCCTGTGCATGGCAGGAGAGCAGCACGTGCACGAGGTAGAGCTCGATGCGAGACAAAGCGTTTAAACTCCTAAAAATAACAAATTAATTGCATTTACTAAACAAATGAGAATTCAATTGTTTCGATCCAAAACTAGAAAATAAGAACAGCTGGTGAGTATGTTGATCGTCAAGCTTGTGTAATTAGTTGCTTCAGTAATGCCTGTAAACACAGATATGAGTAAAATTAATGGACAACTGGGACGTTTTGTCCGGTGACAGAGGTTCCATCATGGGGTCCTGTGGTTGTTGGTGTTCGGGACAACGAAGAGGTGGCAGTAGGCCACATTCTGGGCTTGAGTTGCAGTATAGCCCTCACTGAGCCACCCGCAACACTGAGCTGGCTCATCAACGGACAGTCGGCAGCGTCTCACCGCGTGCCGGCACCTGTCGTCCAGACGTACAAACACATGCACAGGCCTGAGATTAGATCAGTAAGTGATCTTATATAATAACAATATAAAGGTATCAACTTCGAATAGGCAATATAGGTCTATCAACAATTCTTAAAAATCCTGCCACCATGCCAATTTCGAACAGAAATTCCACAACTAATTCCGAGATTCTAACCTCCATCTCGCATTTCCAATTTTTGTGACTCCTAAATCACTGTAATCAGTTGGGCTCTGTGGATATTATTGTCAGACGTAGACACGCATGAGCTAGTAATAAAATAAAATCCTAATAGGTGACAAATTATTCCTAAATTAAATGAAGTAAAGGTTATCAAATACGCTGGTAATCTCTTTTAACCTACAGCTGACTTCAGTCATCTCATAGAACTTGATGAGAATGAGTGCATAGTGTGTCGCAAACCATCGGAAAAATATGTATTTTATTAAATCTGTAACAAATTTGATTATTTAATATAGAAATCCCAATAGTGTACACTTTTTCACTTCCGGTTTAGTTATTGCTTTCTCAATAGTAAAGTTCTAATAAATAAAAAAATTTGCATCGAATAGAAGGACCAAATTTACGAATGCGAATGAATATACATTGGAATGAACCATTTAAGAATTCCTTGCAATGAAACAAGCTACAGCACCTCAGTGACAGAGATGATGACATCAGTGACAGGACATCGCAGAATTCGCACAGCTTGCTGTGACTTTGAACCCGAAACGCACTGCTCCAATTTCAATACTCCGAACTTTAAGCAGTTAACTTCTTTTACACCTCTTGTCCGCAGAGATGTGAAAACTTCGTAAAAACACGACGAACGCTTGTTTTTACGTTGTTGGATTTTTTACAATTATTTCACTAGTTAAGCTTTTCTCGCCCGCATTCCAAGTTGTGTTGCAAATCATGTTGTCGTACCAAAACATGGCGTCGAAATTTTCACGCCAACCTCGAAATGAATGGCCGCGGCGGCGCTCGCCACGCAGCGCTGTATTTCTCTCAGCGCGCAGGAATAAAGTAAGAATTACAGCGCAGCGCCAATTTCCCTGGCTTCCCCAGTGAGGAAATTCGTGACAAATTGTCGACAAGGAATTCTGAGAGCTGCCGAGGGAAGTGAACCGCATGGACCTTTGACGTTTACGAGATACTTAGTTCAGCCTCGCAAGCAACGGCTTCACATTCACAAGCTTATCGACTTGAGAAGAACATGTGTGAACAAAAACGCTAACACATTAGATGATAATGATACAGTTTTTCTAGATACAATGCTAATGGTTAAAATAGTAGAACTCAACAGTAAAAATACATTTACTCGACAAATTACTGAGAGTATACAGTTTTTGTACATGAATTGCCCGTAAAAGTTTGGTAAAAGTTAATTTGTGAGCTTCACGATAACTTTAAATTTGCGTTCAGTATTTTCTGATCAATTATTCATTATTCATATTTGCGTTTTTATTAGTTCACCAGAGAGTTCTTACTAACAGCGAAGAAATCATGCACTCTCCCTAAAGTGAATGCATATTATCCAGTTATTTTAATTTCGATTTTCTGTAAAAAAAAATTTGAAATTCACTGATGCATACTTGAACTTGAAGATATGAAAACTTGAACAATTTTTATGTACAGAAGAGAGAATGAAAAAAATTATTCCAGCGGACTTAAGATAAACACTTGTCTGACACCACCAGGCCAGGCCTGATTGTTATTCTTGGTCAAGGTGAAAGATTCTATAGATAAAAGATTAAAATATGAACGCATATTGAAACCTTGGGCATTGTTTTGGGCAATAATGCTACAATTTTTTTTGTTCTTGCGCCGCACTTGCTTGGCAATCGAAGTTCACCAAAAACCGAATTTTTTTATCAGCAGTTTGCTAGTAGCGTTCAATCATGACAATTGCATTTCTGACGTATGTACGACATCGCCACTATAGCACTTGATCTTGGCATGCAAAATGCATGCAAAATCCTCGCCGGTTTCCTTGAATCAACATCACCATTTAGAATAAAAAAATGAGTCGTTGATCGCATATACTCATACTCAATAATCATAGCTTCTACCTTATTTGTTTTTAGCAGTTGTGAAAGTCTATGGTATAGTATCCAAATGAATTCGATTTAAATAAAAATTACATAAAGTAATTTCACAATTGAATCATAGTCTTATCACGCTTCCAAATCAGTCACGAACGAGAAATACCAAGCAAAATCACGGCCCAGTTACTTGCAATCACCATGTAAATACTTCAAGATTCATCTGGAAGAAAAACGTCCAGAATAACGTTGGCCTTAATTGTAATTACCGTTTCGTAGCAAGCAAGAGCAGAATGTGTCGGACTCTCACACATAAGAACTTAAAGTGTGTGTCCCATTGGCCATAACTTTGCTGTGTTTCCCAGTTGTCAATATGAGCTTCGGAAACTTTTTTAATAAGAGTGACTGGCGTGAGCGAAGACGGGCTATAGTCGATACGACGATCACTGCGCCAACGACGCCGCGCGTACTTGCCGGCTCCTGCAGTGCAAGACTCTTGGGCGCAACTGATGCGCATAACGGCGGGCATGACAGGAAATTCTGTGTGGGGATCACAGGGAAATAATGACGGAAAATTGCTAAGTCAATGGGATGTATGTTGAAGCGTTAGGTGAAACAGCAACCTATGCGAAGGGAAAGTTCTGATGGGAAACAAGAAGATCGCTGGAACCTTAAGTTGTTGGTGGAAATAAGTTGATTTGAGTCCTTGCATTTGACTTTATCTGATACAACTGTTTTAATAAATCTTTTTGAGGTTGTAGAAATTACATTTTCATCATTCGGGAGGTGATGGAAAGAAGCTAGAATTTATTTCACTGTTCCAACATGTAATAAAATTTAATTTATTATTTTGTAGTTCTTTCTTCGACGATTTGTTTTTTTCACCATAGCTGAGTTCGCAATCAAGCTCACCAGCTTTAATTCAGCTTTTTTTTACAATATTCTTTCGAAAAAAATGGCTCAACGCAACATGGATGTATACCGTTAACAATGAATGTATCCATAAAACAAGATGAATGTATCCTTACAAGTAACCTGCTACGCCCCGTACTCCAGGACGTGCGACTGTACCTGAGCGAGTCTATGTTCCAACGCGGGGCGCTGAGGCTGACGTGCCGGGCTGTCCTCGAGGACGTCTTCCTGAGGGAGGCGCGTCTCACGCTCCACGACGCCCACAAGCCCAAGCCCGCCGTCTTTGGCTGGTTCTCGTCAGGTTAGAAGCGCTCACTTGATTTACGAGTTATTTTTTTTCTAGGTATGAGACGAAATAACAAGATCATCGATTTTGCATATTTATTTTTTTTCGACTTTCCTAGGTGGCATATTTGTATTTTTATGGATAAATGTGTTGTCAGTAAATTTTTCTTATTTTGAAATGAGTTAATTAAATAATATTCTTTCTGGTTCAGTTTTATTGTTTATTTACTTATTTTTCTAAACCACTAAATAAGATTAAGCAAATAACCTGGACTAATTTGAAAATTATTTCCCTGATACTATGGAACGACACGAGACGGTGAGATAAGAAACGAGACGTATTATGATGATACGAGATATCATAGTGCCGAACGAGACTGGGCAGACTGGACGATGGGCCCTTAATGAGCAGACTAGGTGATGTAGGGCTTGATGAATAATTTTAGTGGTAAGCCTTTCTCAAATAACGAATGATATTTTATAACCTTCAAATAATCGCATCTTACGCGGACCGAACGATCCTTGGTCTTTGACACATTGTTTGTAGATGTTTGCGGCCACTTGTACAGTCATAACTAGCCGGTTGTAACACAATGTAGTCGCGTGAATGTCTTTAGACATACACACACCGCAGTGCATGTCTTTGGAGGCCTCAGTCGGACTGGTTCGGTGACAATTTGAGTCCGTGTCGTTAATATTTTGTATGCGAGCCACCCTAGTTTCTTGATTCATTCCTGAAGGTTATTATAATTAATAACCACTGAAACACAGAATTACGCGAAAAATGTGTCCTACATTGTTGATTTTAATGTAAGATGATGAAAGTAAAAGTTAAAACTTGTTTTGATATGAATTTATGCTGAATATTTAATTCTTTATTTATAGCAAATGCATCAACTGTTGCCAATGAAATTTGTATCCTAAAACCTAGCAACAAGATTTATCGTCAATTAATAGTAGTTAAGATCGTAATATAATGGAATAAGTGCAATATAAATGAGTCATAAAACTGTTGTGAAATAATAAAAAATTGTGAGTGACTTACAAAATAACTATAAAAGGGAAATAATTCAATGTAATAATCTATAACATTATTCAGAAAATAAGCTAGCAAGTTTACGTGTTATCAATTGGGACAAAGCTTTAAGGATCATTTGGTCTCAAATGAAGAAACGAAGCAGAGAAGCTTGTAATGTATGGGAATTACCTTCATTCAGAGCAATGTTGAAATAGAAGTGATTGAAGAGATGAGGTTTAGCGTTAAATTTTTTTGATCATCAACACATTGGCACCTCCATACTCTCCCTTAAATTTTCTTCAACGATGAGTCTCCGAATGAACATCCTGCTAACCTCATCGAAAAATGAAGATGTGGAGGTACACTATTCTTGTTTTACCATCAACCCGTTGATAGAATTACGAACTTCCCGACATCTTGTGGTGTGAACAAGAAATTATTGATTTGTTCTATAAGTTCTGTGAGCTTTGGCCCCAAAATCTCGCTAAGGCCCTAACATCACAAGAAGTCAATGCGACCGATTTGGTGACTTGCGATGTAGATTAACATTAGCGAAGAACTTTTCGAAATTATCGCTCGCGGAATATTGAAGCCATGTATATATTGAGAGGAACGTGCTCATTTTAACGATGTTTTTTGAGAGCAAAACATTCAGCGAGTTTTACAGCCCGTTGAGTGAAACTCTCGATACGTTTGTATTGACCAACACACAGGGTCGCACAATATGATTATCTTGCAGTCAGAATTAAAAGCCTTGTTTTTACCACAAGGCCTTTATTTTTGACAACAAGAACTATAGGCCTATAAGACGTACACGGCCCATATCAAGAACTAGGCCCACAATACGTCCCGGGCCCACAGCAGGTCCCGGGCCCTGAAGCGGTGCTCAGGGGTGGGGAGGGGGCAGGAGATCGAAGTAAAAGATCTGATGGAGCGGAAGATGAGGAAGCTTTGGCCGCCCCTCCGATGACGGCAACAAATTAATGTTTTCGAGTTGCCCACATTTACGTTCAACTTGGACGCAATTACTCACAAGTTCTGATTGTTGGTTCTTACAGCGGCAACTTGGGCTCAACATCGGCCATCAGAAGCTTTAGTTTAAAACGCGAAGAGGAAGTTAATAATTCGATAACCCTGAGTTGTGTGAAGTGGTGGTCGCAATTTTGTAGCGTTGCGATGGTCGAACTTTGCTGAAAATTTCAAAATCAATATATAACTTAATCAATTAATTTAATTTAACATATAACTAACATCTAACATATTAATTTAACATATAACTTAATTTTATTTGATAATGTGTATAACATTTCCAATGCCTTTTTCTCTTCCAGTGTTGCCACGAAAGTAAGTTAAATCCTGGTACTCATTGCCGTAGACTTCAACACGCGATGCTCTTAGCTCCGTTTGTGTCAGGTTGAGTTCTAAATTAAAGCCAATATTGTGGCTAACAGGCAATCACGCCACATCTGAGGCCCAAAATGTTCGACAAGTAAAATAAAAATTATTATTTGACCTTCCCTTGCATCAAATTAGTCGTTATATTAACGCAGGTTTCGATGCCCGTGACAGGTTGATTTCTAATCAAGACATTTATTAAGATTAAAGCGCCCGCTCTGGCCATCGGAAATGTCCAATAACAGCTCGTAACAACGGCTCAGGCATCTCGTTCTAATATGCCTGATGATATTTATAACGCCTACGTCACGTGCATGTGTTACGTCTTGCTGAGCAGCGCTGTTGACGTGCAATGAGACAGACATGCCGTCTCGTGTGATGCATGCAAAGTCTTACACGACGCGATAAAATAAACAAAATTCGTGCACGCGCTCAGCCAGCTTCGATATTTGTGGTCCTTGCAACGAAGTAGACGACATTGGAGCATCACCGAGTTAATTTAAGGTCCATATTAATTATAAAAGATCTCTCATGCTAAGCTTGGGAGAGGGATCACTGTTAACGTGCAACCATCGATATTTAGTTCACGAGCATTGACATCTAACGAACAATAATGATTCGAAAGTTTGAATGCTTAATAAGGAGCTAAGACTTATATCATTAGAAGATTTTTCGATTGACTAAAATTTTTTAATTAGTGATCTCCGAAACGTTCTCGATGAAGATATTATAAATTTATCTGCATTATTGCTTTCAAATTCTTGATAATGAACTGATCACAAAATGATGAAAAGAACTAAGCGATAAGCGTGAGAATGGAAACAGCGCTCTAAGAACTGATGGAAATATCTGAAGCAATTGAGCAAGAAGTGTGTGAATTGAAACAGAACTCAAGAAAATAAATGTTGTTTCTTTTGTGCAAAACTCGTGGTTCTTGAACGAGCCAAGAAGACAAAGAAGACAAAGAGAGAGCTGGTGGAAGGGAGCGAGCGAAAAAGAATTCTACTAATTTGGCTTCAAAGAAGAGGCGTTGATTGTCTGGCAATGAGGGTTGCGAGGAGCCATTATCAGCGGCATGTCTAATTGTCTGGCGATGAGGGCTGAGAGGAGCCATTATCAGTGGTATGTCTAATTCCCAGAGGGGAGTTAGAGGGTTCACTCAACCCCACCCACGGAAACGGACCTTTGCACGCTACTTTCCACGATAATAATGATATGGATAGCTACACGTGAAAAGCTAATATTTAGTTCATATTTTTCAAATGTTAACAGTGGATGGAATAATGGTGCTTCAATGAAACTGCCAATTTCTAAAGCGGTTACCGAGTGGAAGAAGTGAATATAACCTGGTTTACTGCTACTCATCACCCACGCTTGTACGAGAGGCTGCAACAGTTTGGCGCGTCGATAAAATGTAAATGAAAATTCAGCTGTCAATAGCTAAATGAAAATGTAAATGAAAATTACAGTAGCAGTGTTGGATCCATTGTGGCCGATGCCAAAAGACAGCCGCATAGTGGCGGGCTTCTGTGACAGGAGATTCGACGCCAGGAGATTTATAATAAGTGACTATGTCTGTCTCTTATACACATCTAGATGNGCAAGTGTAGGGTGAGGGCAAGTGTAGGGTGAGGGCAAGTGTTGGGTGAGGGCAAGTGTAGGGTGAGGGCAAGTGTAGGGTGAGGGTTCAGTTAATTACGCCCAGGTTGGCGGGACAAAACTGGCATTTTTCTGCCCAGCTTCACTAATATTAAGTCCGTCGCCGAGCATCCACAGCGCCATCGCCCTCAAACGCTCCTTAATTAATGCAAGCGTAAATCCTTTCTTTTATCCTCGGGATTTTTTGTGAATTCCTGAAGCGTTTTACTGGCTGCGCACCATTCAGTGCGCGTATTAATAGCGCAAGGAATGCGCATCAGCTCCGCTTCTGCCCTGCGTATGAGGTGGTGCAGCATCGCCCAAACTTGCACATTTTGTTCCGCCCTCATGAGAAATATCGCTAAAAATTAGACTCGTATAATAATTGGTATTGCAACCATATATCATTTTTCTTGTGGTAAGATCTTCAACTGATGCACACTCAAGGCTGCGTGAATAAAATTTGTGTTCATAATTAGATTTAAAATACTTTAAGGATGATGCTTTTTTTAATTGACGTTAGGCTTATGTCTACATAAAAGAAATTTAATCAATCGAGTTCCTCGTTGTTTGGCAACGAATGGAATTCCGCAGTCAATTTCACCCGCCACGTGTATCTTGTCATCCAGAAAAAATTTGTTCAGCCTTCAACAACAGCCTTCAAAAAAATGTTCAGCCTTCCCGAAAGTTCAGCCTTCAACAATATAGCGAGCTGTCAAAGTCACGTAGAAATTCACTTAGAAAGTCGAATCCGTGACGAACCAGTGCACGTATGACTCCTATCGCAGTGTCTTGAGTGCACCGCTTCTAGTAAGAAGTCTCAAACGAAACAAAACTGACATGCATTTGGTCCAAAGGGAGATGCTATGAGACAAGCTACAATATTGTCCTCACAGATGTTCTGTTCATTAGGCTGACAGGAAATTATTGCTGTCACAGCAGACTGGACTGCCAGCGTCACATGATAGGACGACAGGCGAACATTTTTTACAAAAGATCCCCAGCAAAGGTTGGACGCAAACACAGACCGGCAGCTGGAGGCCGATACTCACAGATATTGCTGTTTGCCCTGCGATCTGAGACGTACTGGAAGAGGCCTGATATCTCATACTTCACATTCTTATTAGTATTCCACAATTGATGGGGCTTTGGGCTTCCTATATGTCGCCAGCGCACCTCAAAACATACAAAGGATCGCAAGCTCCGATGTCTGCGAGGCTGTCATCAGCATTTGAGCGTTTATTGTTCTTGCGATAAGCATGGCTCGGAGCTAGCTTACAACGGCGAATTTCTTCATTACAGAAAATCATTATGACGGGCCTCGTCAAAATTGGGCGCATTGATAAGACCAGTATTCTCGTAACTCACTTGTTTGATATCTTTCATACTCGTCACATCATTTCAAATTACAATACTAATAGTTGAGGGTTATTGCTGAGGGCAATAACTGTAGTTAACTATATAATTGTTGATTGTTATGGCTGCTGTTTAAGTGATAGTTGTCTGGTATTGCTGATGTCTAAATGATAATTCACAGTTATTGCCGTTGCCTAACTGATAGTTGACGCTTATTGCTGATGTCTAACTGATAGTTGACGCTTATTGCTGATGTCTGCCTGATAGTTGACGCTTATTGCCGTTGCCTAACTGATAGTTGACGCTTATTGCTGATGTCTAGCTGATAGTTGACGCTTATTGCTGATGTCTAGCTGATAGTTGATGCTTATTGCTGATGTCTAGCTGATAGTTGACGCCTATTGCTGATGTCTAGCTGATAGTTGACGCCTATTGCTGATGTCTAGCTGATAGTTGACGCTTATTGCTGATGTCTAATTGATAGTTGACGCTTATTGCTGATGTCTAACTGATAGTTCAGCTCCCTAATGGCAGTTGCAAGAACTGCTTCATCAAATCTGACACTTGCAACAACTGGTCCATTAAATAAGCGGCAAGCAAGAGAGCCAGGCATGCTGGTCCCGGGGTGCGTATGGCAAAAAGATGTCGCCGATGTTAAAAAATCTTAGTTTGATGACAGCGACAAACTTTCCGCCGGCCCCTCACGAAAAACATTTCAATAAAGCGCTTCTGAAGTGGCAGAGCTCGCGGCTTATGAACAAGTGCTAACGATTCGCTTCATTCGACGACATAAATTCGTTCTGTACAATTAATTTATCAAAGTGAGCGTGTATTGTGCTTGAGTTTAATTTGGCTAAACTAATATAGCTATTTTGATGATAAATAAGAATTTTTTGTTACTCACCAAACGGGTACTTACTGCCGCCGCATGAATTTTGGATGACGACGATGAGTAATTTTCTTAATTGTCCATCTCTTCCCCCGCGCTGCCTCATATGCACCTCACGAGTGACGCTCTCATGCGCTCCAGCATAATATATTTCTTCATGCAAACATAATTTTCCGTATAGATGGAAGCCCTAATTAATCTTATTATGATTCAGAAATTATTATGCTCATATTGTAACACGCATAATTATAATTTCGTTGATTATATCAAGATTATCCACTTAATAATACATGCTTAATTATACTGAACTCCCCTCATTCCCTCGGCGAACGTGTGAGGGCTTTAACGAGGCATTCTCGGTGACTGCGTCAAGTCGACTGCTTTTTAATTAATATATATCAAGCACTCTAATTATATCCGATTATTCCAGCTAAATTCAGTTAATCGTGTGAAACGATAAGAATACTAAATTAAATTTAGAAAATGTGGTTGTGTAGTCGAAGCCATAAGCTTGAAATACTGTACAAAGATATTTTAAAAGGCGTCTCGATGTTCCTATATTCTGAAAATCTTTCATGTGTTTATAATATCGAGTACTATTTAGTGTTATTACCTTGTTTCATTAAATCTTAACTTTTTAGTCCAATTTTATTTGACTTGTCTATTATAATTTTATCTTATAGTTTAAGGGGAGCGTCTGGGGTAAAATTTATCTCGGCTATTCACGGACGGATCACTCTAAAACTTGGTACACATATGTAAAACAGAATTCTAAGACATTTTTGTTCGTGTGAATTTTTCGAAAAAAATGAAAGAAAACGTGAAATTATTAGAAAATGTGTATAAGAGACAGGTGTAGGGTGAGGGCAAGTGTAGGGTGAAGGCAAGTGTAGGGTGAGGGCAAGTGTAGGGTGAGGGCAAGTGTAGGGTGAGGGCAAGTGTAGGGTGAGGGCAAGTGTAGGATGAGGGCAAGTGTAGGGTGAGGGCAAGTGTAGGGTGAGGGCAANCGTTTACGTTACTTGCGTTTACGTTAATGGCGTTTACGTTAATGGCGTTTTCGTTAAGGGCGTTTACGTTAATGTCGTTTACGTTGATGGCGTTCACGTTAATGACGTTTACGTTACTTGCGTTTACGTCAATGGCGTTTACGTTAATGGCGTTTACGTTAATGACGTTTACGTTAATGGCGTTTACGTTAATGGTATTTACGTTAAGGGCGTTTACGTTAATAGCGTTTACGTTAAGGGCGTTTACGTCAATGGCGTTTACGTTAATGGCGTTTACGCTAATGAGGTTTACGTTAAGAGCGTTTACGTTAATGGCGTTCACGTTAATGACGTTTACGTTACTTGCGTTTACGTTAATGGCGTTTACGTTAATGGCGTTTACGTTATTGACGTTTACGTCAATGACGTTTACGTTAATGGCGTTTACGTTAATGACGTTTACGTCAATGACGTTTACGTTAATGGCGTTTACGTTAATGACGTCGTCAGTGACGTTGCTGTCAATGATGTTCTCCTAACACAAAGTTGTTCTTTACTGCAGGTTGTGAGGCTCAGAGCAGTCTGCTTACCACCTGCTCCTGCGCTGCTGCTCTGCTACTGCTTACGCTCTGAACACTCTGCTCTGGTCCTATTCACGCGCGGAACACTCTGCTCTGCTACTCACTCTCTGAACACTCTGCTCTGATACTCACGCTCTGAACACTCTGCTCTGCTACTCACGCTCTGAACACTCTGCTCTGATACTCACGCTCTGAGCACTCTGCTCTGCTACTCTTCACCTGCATAGCTGTCTGCTCTGCTGAAGTTCTAACGACACAGAACACATAGAATCTCTCTGCTCGGTAACTCTGTCTGAGAATGCAGCCAGAGCAGCTGTGTTTAGTAGCTTTGGACGATATTAGTTTGTGTATAAGGGAGCTGGAAATGTGCAGTTGTACAGGAGACCAGCTGTGAAACATCAAAACAATTGTCAGTGCATAGCTGAGGTGAGTTTATACTTACAACAGCCGGGACAGATGGTTACAGCACTGACTTTGTACGGTCAACATGTGTTGTTTTGTTGATCAGAGGCTGAGTTCGTGCAAAGTCATTCAGCGACTCTATTGACAAATAATTACCATAGTAGAGTACAGAAGCTCTACAAGTTTAAATGTCGTCGTCGATGAATTTTATCAGGATGTGCCCCATTAATCAGGATTTATCAGGATGTGTCCCAAAATGTATGATTTTCAAATCTACGACCATCGTGGGTGTCTTTACTCCTGAATACCTACGACGTTGAGCTTGATGCAATATGTCGGTCGTCATTCGATACGGTAATCGTTTGACGGGTTGAGTAACAGCGGTAATGTAGGGCCTGAAGAGAGATTGTATGGCAACTTTACGTCGTCCTAATTACTTCTGAGGTTGTGGGGTGGTGGTGTATTTCCTAGCGCTTCCATGTACTATTTTAATCCCTGTGCTGTAAAGCCAATGTACATACCTGCCCCATACATGTACATGTGTGTGCACCCAAAACCAATTGACAATAATAAATCTTAGCCTATATCTATTGTAACACATTTCAAACTTTACCTAATCAAATCGTAATATTCCAAACTTTACCTATTGCAATTGTAACCTATTTCCAATGTATCGTTTTTGCCCAATAACTCAATTAAAACAGTTAATAAAGTATTAAGTCTGACATCAAATCATGTGCTAGTACTCCTAAAATTCTTACATTTTTCCCAGGCCCAAGTTTATGAGTCTTCGTCCCTGATCCGTCAGTATAGCTCAAGACCAAATTGTTCTTGACTGTAGGACTTGTCACGGCATCGTAACTTGTTGCGAGTGTCCGACTATTGATTCATCAGTTGTATAAAGAAAGCTCGGGCAACTGTACGTTGATAAATCATGACGTCATTCCATGTATGATGTAGCATTTACGGTCTTGTGTGAAGATGACGGCCATATGAACATTATACAATACACAATGCAAACGCCAGACCAGTAGGTACAATGTAATTTCTAGTTTTGTGACCAATGTCGCTTCTTTAGTGTTTTCAGTTGCGAAATCCCAGAGAAGCAGTTCCTGTTTTTCTATTTCTAGAAAATTATGTTAACGTGTACAACGTTTAATCCATTAATACGTGCATTAACATTTCAAGGCAATGGAAAATTATGCAAATAAAATACAACTTTGAATAAGATTGCATTTACGGCACGAGTTGCCTAACTGATTCAAATTAGATAGACTGGTTCTTCATCTAAAGGAAGAAGACAAATTTTGACGACATGAATGTGCTCTGCACATAGTCTTGCATTTATGAGTATGAATGAGTCCTGGGATTAATTAACCCACTTGTTGATGGTGGATATAAAAATGATTGCTGTGACCCACTGCATTTGTTGAGGTGGCATCACAGATGCCCACCTCTTATCCTAAGCTTAAGTAGGAGTGTCGGCCACCCCCATTTTGTGTACAGTATATAACAGCGCTTCTCAGCTCCCGGGTCATGCACATTGCACATATTTTAGCACACAGAATGGGTCTCCATAGAAATAGTTCTAGCCCAAGGAAAATGCCAACGTATCGCAAGTTTTGCTGAGTCTCGTAGTTTTTACTTGCCACGTTCAGCACGAAGAAAAACCAAGTTAGTTTTGCTTGTTGCGCCAGTCATTGTTCGGAAAACACGCTGCCACAGAGTCGCGACTTGACGCGATCAAGCCCTTATGTTCAGTTAGTTTCATGTTCCTTAGCATAATAAAGATGACAATATTATTAGTTAAAATGCCAAGTGTCCTCCTGTGTAATATATGTGCTAAAATTAAATATTTTAAGCCTCGACGTCGGAGGTTAACGCTTAACACAAGAAGTTTAGTCTTCCAGAGTCGCCCTCCGCGCGAGTTCCATGGTCACTCAGCCACTCTTATGAGTCAGCTCCTTGGCCACCCAGCCACTCTCGTTAGTCAGTTCCTTGGCCACTCAGCCACTCTCGTTAGTCAGTTTCTTGACCACTCAGCCACTCTCCTTGGTCCCGCAGCCACTCTCATGACCTAGAAGCCACTCTCATCCTCGCAGCCACTCTCATCCTTGACCACTCAGCCATTCTAGTGAGTCAGTTCCTTGGTCCCTCAGCCACTCTTATGAGTCAGTTTCTTGACCACTCAGCCACTCTTATGAGTCAGTTTCTTGACCACTCAGCCACTCTTATGAGTCAGTTTCTTGGCCACTCAGCCACTCTCAGGAGTCAATTCCTTGGTCCATCAGTCACTCTTATGAGTCAGTTTCTTGGCCACTCAGCCACTCTCGTGAGTCAGTTCCTTGGTCCCTCAGTCACTCTTATGAGTCAGTTTCTTGACAACTCAGCCACTCTCAGGAGTCAGTTCCTTGGTCCATCAGTCACTTATGGGAAACAGTTCCATGTTCGTACAACATTGAACATTTCCTAGTTCTTCTCAATGTTCATACAGCACACGCCGCGGGGGATTGGTTATAGCGGAAGGAGAGCTCAATACAGCAAAGTTTTACAAGGAATTATTTAGGCTGTAATCTGTGTATTTGCTTCACTCTGCTCACTTATGAACTTGTGTATATTGTGTCTTACCAAAGCGTTACCCTATCTTATCTTCAATCGTTCTGTCCTTAACTTTAACTATCCCTTTTTCTTATTTAAACAAGACAGAAGGTGGAAGTTTTGAGCACATATTAATGAGATTGAAGGAAGGTGTTCAATTTTCTCGGCTCAGCTGATAATGGAAGATAGTGCATGCAGTGTAACTTCTCCTTACAAAATTTGTTCGTGCAAGAACTCAGGCCTCCTTAATGTCACCTCTTATACCGTTATACGTATATATTGTACCTGGAATATGGTGAAAATAATTATTCTATTTTGAGTAGTTTAATCCATTTTCCTATCACAAGGAAAACTTGTATTTCGGCTGAACTACTTGGTCAAGAAGAAAATCCGCATGCCGGTCGCATGCAATTTGATTGCAGTGCCTGCATGAGGTCGAAAAACGAACCGCGATCGTACAGCGTAACGCATTTTTCCGATCTTATAATTTGTATATCGGGATTCCAATGTGTCAGGTTATAATTTCCTTTAGATCAAAGGATTAGTGATAGCACCACTTCAGGATATTCTGAAGTTTTTAGAGCATATTAAAAGAGCTTCAAACAATTGAAGTTGTACAATGTCATGCATTTTTTCACGATAATGGATGCAAAATGAAGGAACAATTGCTGTCGCGCCAGATATTGTGTGGCGCCGGGAAGGCTGCGTGCAGATGGTGACATGACAGCTCGTTAGTGAGGGTGTCTTGAGGGACGCTTGTCCGAGGGAACTTCATGGGGCGGATGAAGAATCAAATTAGATATTTTTATTGCCAACACATATTCTCTATTCCATGTATGCTTTAGAGCGACTCAAACGTGTTGCCAACACGAAGTTACTTGTTAATCTCCGCTCGTGAGTGATTCGGTCGTGTTGCCAACACGGAGCCACTATCCCGCTTTCGATTGTGACTCAGTCGTGTCGTCAGTCACAGCTGTTGGTTCCTTCTAGACGGTAAGGTCGTGTACGCTTCATATCAAACCCACTTCATATCAAGTCGGCGTACATGTGTGCTCATTATGGCACAACGTGAATAAGAAATAATTGCATTCATTATTCAAAGGGAATTGATGTTCTTCTAAGATTTCTTTTGTTTGAATTTGATGCCGATCTATTGGCTTCAGGGAAGTTGATGCCTGTCTGTCTGCTTCACTGAAGTTGATGCCAGGCTATCTGCTTCACTGAAGTTGATGCCAGGCTGTCTGCTTCACTGAAGTTGACTGAAGTTGATGCCAGGCTGTCTGCTTCAGGGAAGTTGATGCCAGGCTGTTTGCTTCACTCTGAAGTTGATGCCAGGCTGTCTGCTTCACTGAAGTTGATGCCAGACTGTCGGCTTCACTGAATTTGCTGCTGGCTGTCTGTTTCACCGAAGTTGATGCCAGACTGTCTGCTTCACTGAAGTTGATGCCAGGCTGTCTGCTTCACTGAAGTTGATGCCAGGCTGTCTGCTTCACTGAAGTTTGAGTTTCGAAGTTTCGAAAACCTTGAATGATTTAAGAGTTTTAGAGATAGCCTTTGTATATTCGGACGTTTCGTGTGAGTTATTCTATTCATAACTGCGTTGTTTTTTTCATATATTTTAAATAGGTCAAAGTTATATTCTCAAATGCGAGGCATTTGGTCGATTGCATGGCCTTCCTAAATGATGGATTTCTTTTGATTTTTCGCTGAGGGTTGAGCTTCCAGAATCAGGCTGATGCACAGTACTACTGATCAGTGATGAGAGTATTGCTGGGTTAAGGATTTTGCAGACAGAAACTTCATTACAAAATTAAAGTTGGAAGTGCGGTCGCTTCTCCGGCGAAAATACGGAGTAAATGGATGAAAAAAATGCCGCTCCAGTCTTCCGTTGGGTATAAATATTTATTCCAGGCAGGTTATGTTACTTCAACATTGCTTTGTAACGGGTTCCACACGTACGATTGTTGTCAGTTTACCAAACAAATAAAGCTATTATATTAAGCAAACGGCTTCTTATTGTCCTGAACTCTTCATATCAACAACGTGGCTTGAGCATCCGTATAGATGTCGATGTCAAAGGGGGAATTTAGAGCTCGTAATGCTCACCATGCAGGTGCCATAGACTCAAATAGATATATACTTCTCAACCATTATTATCAAATAGAATTTAATTTACTCGGTCGAACTGTCATCCTAGTCCTAATGGTTGGTTAAAGTGGTACGTGGGGGAAAGCTTGGTACGTTGTTATGGCATTGACGTATGGTATGGTATAACTTATTCCAAGATTTTTAATTTTTTTAATTGAAAATAGTTATGAAAACAACGTCTTTATAATCTAATTAATTAATTAATTATCGTCAATTAAATTATCATAAAAAAATGATTCGCTGATATTTAAACGGAGGTTTCAAACCTTCAAAACATGAATTTATTCTCAACGCACAAGCGCAGAAACCATCGTCCAGACTCTCGTTGCTAAATTATATTTAATCGACTTAAGAATCATGCCAATGGTAGTCAATCTAGAGTATATTTTTTCAATAGGAAAAAAACTTCATCGGGTACATTCAGCTATGAAAATTTTATGCTCAAGAATGTAAAGAAAGGAATAATAAATGGATGATGGAATTAAAATAACCGCAGGAGGTAGGCGACAGATGGGGTGGATCTGGAGGACGGTCAGAACGAGAGAAGCGGAACCGATGATCACACCCTTCAGAGCCCTTGTAATACCTATCCTTGAATACTGCTGCCAGCTCTGGACCCCGTTCACACTCGGCGCAGTACGGTATAAGAGGACGTATGTTATTGTAAATATTAGATTAGTAATTTCTCTTTTAGGTTCTTAGTCACCACTGACGTGACCTCGCGTAGGAATCCACTATATCTTGTCATTCGTTTGTGCGATTCCACCACAGAGGTACGTGGTTCTTTTAGTCGTGTTTATTTTCAGTGTTGACAGTGCCCTGGTGTTTAAGTGAAGTTTTTATTGATCTTTTAGTGCATATTTGTAGTTATATTTATTCATGTATCATATATCATGTGCTATATTTCTGCGTTTACTAGTTTATTTATTTCATTAGTTCTAATTTTGTGTTTTGTTTTTGTATGTGCAGAAAGGCTCCGATATAAGAACTTGCTTCGATCATTATTGAAAATAGTTAGTCGGCCTAAAGAAAGCGCACGGTTTTGTTTTGTTTATTTATTGTTTTTGTATTCATTGATAAGTCGTTCAACACGTTGACCACGATTGCTTCATCTTGTACTATTATTTAATTTTTTGTACTGTTTTTAAACAGGGTTGCCAGACGGTCATTTTTTCCGGACAAATTCCGTGATTTAGTTTTTCTCAATTGCGTTGGCCCGCTAATATTTATGATAGGGGTAATTCCTAATTAAATTTTAAATACTGCAAAAAGAAAATAAATGGAATTTTTATAGTGGAACCTACAAATAAACTAGTATATTATGAGTTATCGGCCTTTTTTTGGCCTTTTTTGTTCTCGGATTTGGCCAATTTAAGGCAACCTGAATTATGTACCACTACGTCCTGGAGAAATACATTTCGTGGTACGCATATGTACCAGTTCGTAGTCAACGTGTTAAATTATTTTTTGTTCATTGATTCAGTTTTTATTCATCCTTCTAAATGGCGATAGGTATTACTACACGATCATAAGTGAATGTCTGAGGCCACTGACGGCTTTATTCATATATCATTTATTTATCGAATGGACCCCGACAACGGCAACTGGAAGGTGTCCAAAGAACCTTCACTTCCAGGATCAGAGGGATGGAAGAGTTGAACTACTGGGAGAGGTTAAAGCGACTGAGTCTGTACTCACTACAGAGGAGACAGGAGAGGTATGTCATTCTGTACACATGGAAGATATTAACTGGAATGGCGCCAAACTTCAAGAGCGAGACCTTCAGGATTGAGACACATCACAACGAGAGAAGGGGGGAGATGTGTACAAAATCCCACACTACTTAGCAGATTTGATGCAGATTTCAATCCCCTGTGGGAAAGATCACTTTCCGTGGCAGGGCCAAGGCTGTTCAATGCCCTACCAAAGGATCTAAGAGAAGGAGAGTTCACCCTGGAGACCTTCAAGAGACGGCTGGACGTGTTCCTGGACACAATCCCTGATCGACCTTCCCTGCAACACTACCAGCGGCGAGAAGCAAGCAACAGCATCGTGCATCAGGTGGCCCAAATGAGGGCGGAAGAACGATAACCAGAGGCGGCGATCCATCGTGGCCTGGGACTGCTATGTCCGAAACAAATACTAAGGATACCAAGGATACTAAGGATAAGGATAGTGACAAGCGGCGAGGTAAATTAGGTGCTTCATCTGCTGAGTGGAAACTGATGTGGCATTGACGGCAGCAACGATCGAAAAATCGCTAAAAATTTTGTATCAATGCGAAAAAATCATTATATATGAATCATTGAAAATAAATAACTTTAGAGACTCTAACAGTAGATACATGGCTACCCGCAAATAGACAGATGGCAGGGGTTAGTTGAATTTCAAATAATTATTTATGGTAAAAATATTTAAATGTCATGAGTAACACACATGGCATGAAACACATGTATGGTAAGTGGTTCAAAGTCGAGAAATACACTCATGATATGAGATATTTATATATGACAAGAGATTTGTGAATGGAGGAAGATACTTGAATGTTACGGGTGCTTACCGCGGACTACAGTAGTACTTTCTGGTGACTTAATGGACTTTATTATGTCTTTAATGTACAGTCAAACTGAACTGTACTATCAGTAGTCATTCAAAACTGTCAGCCGTACAGTCAGTGAGCTAATACACAAACCAGCCATGCAGATAGTGAGCTGACACGCAAACCAGCCGCACAGTCAGTGAGCTGACACACAGACCTGCAGTACAGTCAGTGAGCTGACACACAGACCTGCAGTACAGTCAGTGAGCTGACACACAGGCTTGCCGTACAGTCAGTGAGCTGACGTCACACACACATATCTGCTGTACAGTTAGTGAACTGACACCCAAGCAGCCCCAACTGTCAGCCAAGAGGCGTTCACTCCGCACTGCTTTGATGTCAGACGAGAGGTCGGCCGCGGCGACGCTGTGATCTCCCTAATGCACTCGGCTGCTGGAAAACCCGATGATTTCGTCCAGCTGACGTCAGTGCACACAATGCTGTCCAGTCAGCTGGAAGAGCTGCATGCTGTCCAGTCAGCTGGAAGAGCTGCAAGAACTTCCTTGTTACGTGTAGCCTGTGTCAGCCTCACGTGTAGCCTAACAGCGCTGTTTCACCCTAACTTGTAGCCTGACAGCGCTGTGTCAGCCTCACGCGTAGCCTAACAGCGCTGTTTCACCCTAACTTGTAGCCTGACAGCGCTGTGTCACCCTTACTTGTGATCGAGTAGGTGCCAGCGGCTCGCCCCGTGCAGCGATGGTCGCCACGATGATCTCCTTCGCGAAGGTTGGTACCATCTTCTAGATGGTATGTATGACAGTAGTAATTTTTAAACCGTTATGCTAATATTTACAATGTTGTTGCAATGTAATTTCTTCTAAATTGCCACACTGCAGCGTCCACGCGTGTTGTTACAATGCTATTCCTACCTGCATCGCCACAATGCTATTCCTACCTGAGTTGCCACAATGCTATTCCTACCAGCGTTTACATATGATCGCGCAGCAGAATTAGACGTGGTGGCGCTACAGTCCCGCGCGCAGCTGCTGGTCTTAATTAAGCCGCTGCACGTACGACTGCTGCTGCAGTTGTTGCCGCCATGACACTTACGGTAAAAACTGCTGCTATTGCTGGAGCTGTCGTAGTCTGCAGGAGCTGCAGCGGCTACAACTGCGACAGCTGCGGCTGCAACTGTAAGAATTTCAGTAGTAGTTATTAATTCTGAATTATGGCGTTGCATCATTACTACGTAGTAGCATTACTACTGCGTTACCGCATCACTCTGCGTTACCGCATCACTCTGTGTTACTGTATCACTCTGCGCTACTGCATCACTACTGCGTCATTGCATCGTTACTGCATCACTACTGCGTCATTACATCATTACTGCGTCACTCTGCGTCATTACATCGTTATTGCATCACTACTGCGTCATTACATCGTTACTGCATCACTACTGCGTCATTACATCGTTACTGCATCACTACTGCGTCATTACATTGTTGCACCATAGTTTANGCTCCCTAAGCAAGCCGCTTAGACTCAGCTCAAGCCAGGCGCCGGCTT